TAGTAGTAAGGCCAGGAGCCCCTAGTAGCGTCCTTGCTCCTAGTAGCAATTAATGAAAGTGAATTTACTCTTCGAATGATTTTCATTGACAGCTGGAGTGGCTCTGGGTCTCCAGCGCTTCACGAGAATTGCGGTCAAGAGCAAAGTCCCTGGCGCCAAACTTCACTCGCACGACATGTTGGACAATTCGGTGGAGGCACGATGGAGGTTCCATCTCTTTGACATCAAGAGCGATGTATTTAGTGTCCAAAGTCTGGTTGTCAGGAGACATCACGCAGAAGGGAGGAGTTAAGCTACTTACGTTGAATAGAAACCTAGAAGAAAAGGCACATAATTGTTCCAGCCTAGCACACCTGCGGCAAGGAGGCACCTGCGCCAGTTTGGCTGCTGGGCCTTGTGCAACTCAGCGAAACATTATTGTTTTGGCTCCTAGTAGCTTCTTGTTCCTAGTAGTGTCAGGAGCTACTAGTAGCGTCCTTGTTCCTAGTAGCGATGCCAAGAGCCGCTAGTAGCTTCTTGCTCCTAGTAGCAAGGCCAGGAGCTCCTGGTAGGGTCCTTGCTCCTAGTAGCGATGCCCTTTGTTACTAGTAGCGATGCCCTTCTGCCACAAACATCATTGTGTTTGTTCTTGGACCACATTTTGTGTGTTTTATGCTTTTTGCATTGTAGCCGGTGCTGGTGGACTTATCGAGCGTTTGAGGAACACCGGGTGACCACTTTGCGTACCAAGCCCAGCCAGGTTGATTGAATTGCAATCTAAAGGACAGAATCAGTCATGTTCACAAGTCCGTTGAACGAATAGTTCACCATGGCATATGAATTTCGTTTGACCTAGCTGAACCTTACTACTAAGAGCAAGGGCATTGCTACTAGGGGCTCCTGGCATCGCTACTAGGAGCAAGAACGCTACTAGGAAGCTACTAGGACGCTACAGAGATGTTCACAGAACGGCAGCTAGGAAGCCTTCGCGGCTCGGGAGCCGGACCTCCTGGACTTGGCTGTCGCCCATGTTTTCAGCCTTCTCCTCAGCAACGACCACGGACTACCTCGCTTTCCAGAGAACGACATTCAAGAAGCTTTTGCTACCACTCACCCGTGCCAGCCATGCTGTGCTCTTTGAGGCTACCCAAAGGCATCTTTTCGTTGAGCTTCTCCTTGACTACGTCAGAGGACAAAGCATGGCAGTCTTCGACAAGGACATTGAGATGCCAACCACTTTGAGAACATTTTAGGACCTAGGACACTGAGATGAGATGTTCAAAGACGTTGGCACTCGTCCCTTGAAGGCACACCACCCAAAGACGCTCAAAACGTGAGACGGTCTCCCGGCAAAGCTCGGTAGCTGAGATTGCTCCCGGTCGCCAGGGAGTAAAGAGTAAAACATTCAAAACACATCTTCACAGGAATCTTCATATGTCCTCCGCCCGGAGGGTTACCTCAAACAAGGACACTTGCTGGAGGTCTAGAGTCTAAAGGAATAAAGGAACATCAAGAAAACAACACAACCTCAAGGCTCTTGTGTCAAGAAATATCTATGGGATAGACACGTGCCATAACATATCCTGGTGGGAAGTTTAAAGTAAATATTTGGTTTCGATTCTGGATTGCGTTTTGAGCACATATTGGTCACTTTTTTTGCTTTCCTCTCGCTTTTGGCTATCCAAATATGTCAATCACATCACCTTTGAATCGCTTTCTGCTCACCTTTCCACTCACCTTTTCTTTGCCTTGTCCCCTATCCGACCCTATCCTGCACTCTGAGAATGCTTTTCGATTGCTCCAACTCCTACAAAAAACATGTATTTAGGCCACCTTCATTTCTTAAATCTATCCTTTGATTCCTTTGCTTGCTGTGTATGTCTTCGACTTCATTTCCTTTCGCTACTAGCCTAGCAAGTCGTTTATTCTTCCAGGCGGGGTAGGCTATCAAATGCTGGGACACAGAAGGGCCAAGGTTTCGTAGATTGTTCGGAAGACTTGTTCCTAGTAGCGTCCTTGCTCCTAGTAGTAAGGCCAAGAGCCCCTAGTAGCGTCCTTGCTCCTAGGAGCGATGCCCTTTGCTACTAGTAGCTTCTTGTTACTAGTAGCGAGAATACACTACGCTCCGAAAATGCGAGTCGCTCGAGTCACGTCATTTTGAGATGGGATTGGCCTCGTGAACATCGTGCTCGGCCCAAGATTGACTTTTGCTGCCAGTGACATGCTGCAAAGCAGATCGAGCTCGGCTTGGGTAAGCGAGCCTGCCATCTCTGCATCTACTTTCGCATGCAACGCGACACAAAATGGAACAGCAGCAAATATGGCAAACGAAAGCGCCGCAAAGCGCCTTCTGCCAGGTGGTGGGAAACATTGTGTCGACACCGAAATCCCGCAAGTCTCATTCCCCGCCTGCAGTGTCCACGTCGTCACCATCTAGGCCGAGCTCTGCCAATAGCTCACTGCACTGGTCCTGCACAGCGAAGGCATGGCAAGGATCGTTGGAAGCGTGAACTGATCCAGGAAGCATGGCTGGGATAGGAGAACGAGTGCCTAGAACGCTTAGGTTAGGGCAGAGTTTAGTGCTTTAAGCATTCCTCTGAAAACTTCCTGATTGACATGACATCGTTCTCAAAATTTTGCAGCCTGGAGGTGTGCAACGAATTGCTAGTGTCATCTGACAGGAATGGACGAAAAAGCACCTTATCGATCTGTATGATCTGCGTCCAAACAATACCCACGCCCAGGATCCATGCAGGTCCAGGTCCCTTTGACAATGCAAGTAGCCGTCTCGCTGCACGACAACTGAGTCTAACCTAAGGCCTATGCATTTTGAGTCTATACATGTCTATACTCCATACACTCCAACTTCTTCATCGCTCAAGACTAATTCGCATTCCAGGATTGTGTGCTCAACCTCACCAATTCCATGTCCTCCAAGGACATTCCTTCACCTCCACCAATTCCAACTGCTGGTGCCTGTGAGGCCTGCACAAAGTTCTTTGTGAATCAAACAAACAGTCTATTACCTGCTGTTCCTTCGAAGAACACCTGAAAATCAATCTTTTGTACCAAATGTGTGTTTGAAGTCAAGCAAAACTGCCCAATGCCAACTGGATTCTAACATGAACACGCACAAACGCACAGCTCCTTGCATGCTCATGCCAAAGGTCAAATTAGAAAGACCTTGTGGCTATGGGTCAAAACCGGGCAACCTTGATTGGACTACCCAACAAGCTATTAGAAACAAGTGCCTCGCTAGTAGCAACAGGTGCCTTACTAGTAGTAACAAGAAGCTACTAGGGGCTACTAGAAGCTACTTGATTGGACTACCCAACATGGTCAACGGTTTTGGAGGTCCTTTTAAGGGTCACCCAGGTCACACCGCTTTGTCCGTGGTTCAGTCCTCTGTGCTGTCGGACTCATTCAGCATCTGATCCAACAGTTGTGTGGAACAGGCTGCAGTAGCTGCGGGTGCCTCCAGGTCAATGCCACCATGTACAGGACAATTAAAGAAAGGAAGAAAGGTTCAATTAAAGAAAACACGTACAAAAACACCGAACAAGAGACAGAAAGAACGGTCTGCAGGTGTTAGGCAGCCTCTTGTTTGTAAGAAACTAGTAGTAACAAGTGCCACGCTAGTAGTAACAGGTGCCTTACTAGTAGTAACAAAAAGCTTTTAGAAACAAGAAACAAGGTGCTTTTCTTCTTTCACCCTTTTGCCGCGGAACGATCCTGCCTTGATGGACTCCGGCCTCACCGGCACCCCGGTGAAGACGTTGTAAACCAAACGATTCGAACAAAGGACCTTCTTTTCTGGTCCATGTCCTTTTACCTAAGTATGTTTCCTTCACTTATTTCCTTTAGACTTTTTCTCTAGAATCTGCTTCTACATCCTTAAGTTTGCCAAAGTCTTGAGTTCAAGTCCATTGAAGAGTGACGGTCAAGAACGCCGAAAGAACGCTCATTGCATGATAAGGCTTGTGCTCAGGCGGTGAAGGCTCCTTGGCCTGCGTACGATGCACTACATCTCAAGGTCAAGACCTAAAATCTCCGTACTGGGCCTTACTGTAACGAACCAGAATGCTTCCTTAAACAAGAACCTTGGTCTCTTTATTCCCAAGAGTTTGCTTCAAGGATCCTGTAAGAATCGAGTAGCCCGAATCTGGAATGATAAAACTATATAACACTGAAATCCGCATCGAAGTTTGTCTGGAGTCTGGAATATGAGCAGATCGGAGGATGTCCACTCTCAATCAGACAGCCAGGTGCTTGACTGAATCAGTCCTGAAGCCAATGCAAGATTGTTACATGTGACACTGTGTTACACAAACGCTTTGTTTTCTCGCTTTTCTTCATATATAATGATTCTTTATGTAGACCTTTAGACAATTTTTTCGTTCTTTCTTTTGTCTTGTTCCTCACTGTCTTCCACCCAAAAGGCTATGACGACTACGCGTTCTCCTGCCTCCGGTGGCTCTCTTGCCTGGTCTCAAAGCTCTGACCGTCGCTGTGCTAGAAACCTTGATATTAGACTGGCTGCACAAGTTGGACTGGTGAGACATCATTGTGGAATCACGAAAAAACACAGCCAGCTTCAATGCGCAGGGGACAAAATGAGGAGGAATGATAAGAAAGTTGTTAACACGTCTGAGGGTGTATTGGCCACTCTGACTTTGCTCAGCACCCAGGCCATGTCGTGGGTCAGGGCAGGTTTAGGCCACCAGGGGCTTTACACATCTGCTTTGGAATATTATACAAATACGGACCTGAACATATTATATCCAACAAAATCTTCCGACATGAATCCCGATGTCGGCTCCAGCATCGTTTCCATCCGAATCAATCTCATCGCTCGCCGCTCCTCGCCTTAGCCCGGGCCTCTTCGAAGAAGCTCTGCACGATGCTTTGCAGTGGTGCGCGGCTCCTCAGGACGACAGGACTAGAAAACAAAATAGATCAACATAGTTTATGCTTATTCCGAGATATTCCTTCTCTGCTCCGTGTTCTTTTCTTCGCTTCTATTCTCTTCCGTTCCTGTCTAGTCTGTGAGGTTAACCCAACCTAGTCACCTAGTAGTGACGTTAACCCCATCCGGAGGAACGGTCCAACCCGTTTCTCACACCCTCAACAAAGGACGCGAGTAGTAACAAGTGCATCGCTTCTAGTAACAAGTGCCTTACTAGTAGTAACAAGAAGCTATTAGAAACAAGTGC